ATGAAACAGTGGAAGAGAACCAGGGCTAAGTGGTGACCCTGCATTCAGTGCTGCACTCAATATGCTGAATAGGAGGTGTCTTCCAGTGGGTTTGGACAGGAGAAACAGATGGAATTGGCCTAGAGATGGGGAGTAGATTCATGGATGTGGATGAAACTGCCAGGTGAAATGGCAGAAGCGTGAAGGCAGGAGACTTAAACAGGAACCGAGATGTCAGAAGAAACCTGTGATACAGTCAATGAAAGCTTTCCATGGAGAAAGCAGTCAACAGTGATGATTCCTGAAGACATCAAGGAGAGCAGTTTCAAGTAGTGGTGGGACCAGTCCTGAAATGCATGGAGGTGAGGAAGTAAACACATTCAGGCAGCTCTTTCAAAAGGCTTGGCTTTGAAGAGGAGAAAAGAGATAAGGGTAGGTATTGCAGAAGTAGAGTGAGAGACAACCATGTTTAAATGTCAGTGGGGATGATCCAGTTGAGAGGAAGTTGTGAAAGCACTGATCATCGACCATGGGAAATTCCTGAGAAGGTGAGAGAAAACAGATTCCAAAGTACATGTGGAGGGATTGGCTTTAGTTGAAGGAAGACTACTTTTTCTAAATTAACAGGTGGGAAGAATAGTTATATAGACAGCTTTGTTGTAGATGTGTTGGTAAGAAGGTAAAGGAATTCATAGCCAGCCCTGTTTTCTCTGTGAAGTAAACAAGTTTCAAATACCTGTGGCCGTGCGACACCCAAGGTCCCAGTAGAGACATCAGCTAGCAGGTAGAGTTCAGAAGGACTGGGATTAGGAGAAATCATCTGTAGTTCTAGCACTGGTCTCGGGGGTGCTGTGTGGCTAAAGTGTGGTGAGGAGGAAGAACATAGGCAAGGTCATTTAGAGCAACAGACTATTCCCCTACTCAATCTGATTGTTTATAATTTGTACACATGTCGGTGGGGCCTGAGACAAGGCTGAGAGCTGCAATATCCTGGGCAACGGATTGTCAGCGTTTGCTGATTATGCTCCCAACACATAGGAACCTCAGTAAAGTGTCTAGGCAGGCGATGACAAGGGTCTGGAGCAACAATAAAATAGACGGTAAGACTGAGTCCACTTCCCCTTCCTCCAGAGTAGAATGTGGAAACAATTCTGGGCAGAAATATGTGATGAGAACCAATAAGCAGGGCTTATTAGGAGTGGGTAGTGGGGTGGGAGGAAATGGCCCTCAGATTTAATTTCCTCGAGAGTCAGTATCTGAGTCTCCCTGTGTCCTGTGTTTGGTGATCAGGACTCTGGCGTCATGCCTGGTAGAGTCGATTCCCTGAGAGAGCCTGTGGTGGCCCCAGTTCAGCCCTGGGACTGGTCTTTGATGCTTATTAGAGAGACGATTTGGGAGTTTCAAGGGCTTTTCAATGCCCCAGTCTTCTTCTCTCTTGACCCCCACCTTGCCCTCAGCGCCCCTCCCCCCCCCACCACTAGCATGAAGACAAAAAGTTGCTTTATTGCAATGTCTTTATTGCATTGCTGGAGCAAGTTGGCCAGACTGTCCCCTCTTGGGGAAGGTTAAAAACAAAAAGACCAAAACGTATCTCCCCTCACCTTCCCCCCACCCTCCCCCACAACTGCACAGCAATGTCTGAACACATCTGGTGACAAGAACAATTTGCAAAAGTGGCCTAGGAACTACATTATGAACTGTCCCAACACAAGACATACAGTTGGCTTCCTTGTGAATCAGATATTTTTACGTAAACTACATGAATTTGTTTGACTACATCAAAGACAACAGAATAGGTTTTTCACACGTAACAACAGGGCATCAAAGTCACATGCTGGAACTTGTAAGGAAACAAGGTTGTCACAAGTGGCTAGAGCTAAAGCAAGGCTGAGCAGCTGGCAGCAGAGGACCTGTCTGGACCCTCTGTTTTCTGAAGCCATTGAAGCCTCACAGAGGCCTACTCTAGGTCTTAACTGGCAACAGAGACCACCTTAGAAACTAGGAATTGCCCAGATGCAACTCTTGGTTCAAGAGAAAACATGGGGCTGGTTCCTTGCAGCAAGAAGAGGAGACCCATGGAAGATAGCACACTGACTTTCAGAGCTGTTTCTGAGCACATGAGGTCCAAAGTAGGAGATCCCATCAAGGCTTGGAGAGGGAGAAGTGGAAGTGTTGGGAGGTCCTCATCCTTGGCCAGATCAGTGGTAAGGACACAGGCGCCACGATTTGACATCTTCGGCGAGGTGGAGACAGAGCATTGTTCTGTGATGAAAGTTCCACCTGGAAAAGATGAGCCTAGGGCCCGTGTCCAGCCAGCCCCATACTGCTTTCATGTTGCTGGCTAGCTTCTCTAGCCAGGAGAGAAGAACCAAGCCCCTCGGGTCTTGGTCTCTTTACCCTCTTCCTCTGGGAGACTGCAGTTAAGATGCCAAGAGAGCTAGTCCCAGGGCCCAGGTGATGGGACAGGACACCGAGCTAGACTAATGAAGGAGGCCACAACCTGCTCCCAAGCCATGGAGTAAAGGAGAAGCATACTACCCCTCCATGCACAGCAGGCCCGGTGGTTGGTAGACTGTCCCTGTGCCATTTCCATTGGCTCAGGATCAAGCAAGTCATATGGCAACTGGTCAGAAAAGATATTGTCCAATTTCTCAAATGATCCCTCGCTCTTAGATCCCACAAAGCAAAGAATTCAAGAATGAAAAACAGAAATTAAAGTGAAGGAATGCAGGATTGAAAAAAAGCAGCCCTTCACAAGCTAGCTCAAATGTGGGTAATTAGATGGCACTTGCTGTCTCCCTGCACAGCCTCAACGTCTGCCCAAAAAGGAACGGACACATTGTTCAACACCACAAGCACATATCCATAAACCCATTTGGTTTATTTTAAAAGAACATACTAAAATTTTAGTACCAGATAGAAGGGATTCCTTGGACCTAATCTTGAGCATCCACTGCTCAAGCAGGTTCGACACCAGGTGCAAAGCATCCAGGTGTGCCCAGCAGCAGTTAGCCTGGCATTGCTCGGGAAAACTTTCAGTAAGATTTCAGTCTGGCAGTGTGGGGAAGGGGTGTGATGGCTGTTAGCCAAGGGCTTAAGTCAGAACAGTGACATTTGAGGGTGGTTCATTTGTCTCTATCTCACCCAATCTTGAAACTGCAACATAGCCAAGGAAAAGCCAAAGATAAATAAGCACTTTCCTTCTTACCATCACTAGTTAACTGGAGGTTTTTCCAAAATTTTTTGTCAATGTCTACACATCATGGTCCATATTTTAGACCCTCACCCAGGTAAGTGCTTAAAGGAAGTAATATTTTTCTTTCACCCCCAAAACTAGAGCTTTTCTAGCTGTAAGACTTAAGAAGCAAGACCCCAGTACTGGCTTCTTTAGCTCAGCCAGGATGTCTGGCTGCAAAGCTTTGGGCTCAAACAGCTGACTTGCTTGGAGCCTAGTATGGTCCCAGGATTGGCTCAGAGGCAGCTGGACTTTGTCAGATGACTGTTGACTGATGGGTGTGGGGCATAATGGAGGCAGGAGTAGATGCCTGCTCCCCCCGCCCATTCCATTCGGCTAGCTTCACTCAGCTGAAAGGCTTAAGCCACATGGAGCAGAAGATTCCTGGCCTAAAATCAAGGCCACTGGAGCATGAGGGCAGACTGTGCACATTGCCTTAATGGCAGGATCACAAAAAAGGCAAAAAGAAAAAGCTTCCAGATGGCTTCTACTAACAGTCTAAACTCTGTACGCCATCTTTTCTCCCTATAAAAGCTTCAGAAACCACTGTATGGAAGCACATGTATAATGTGGTATGACCCTCACCCTGGACACCAGGGCCCCTCGGTCTGTGATTTACTGAGGTCCCTGACCACAATCTGACTCCCCTCCTGAGCCACCTATGGCTCCCTAAACCCTACCCAGCAAAGGAGGGGGAGATGAAGGAAAATTAAACCATGTTTACTGTTTCTACAGGGCCTTTAAACTTGGGGAAGCACAAATTAAGAATGTTGTTCTATATCATTATTTGGTATATCAAGCCATCTAAAAGCACTGGATTGCACCTTTTCTTTACTCATACAAACAAGATACAAAGGTTTCAAACAACATATCATTCTTTAGGCTAAGGAAACACCACACAAGCACCAACTTCATTTTATGACTCAAAGTTCACCATCCCCACAAAAAGAATGCTAGTCCTCATCTCTGAGAAACAGGGATAGGACAAAAGGGTTACACTGGCCAATTGTAGTGTTTGCTAAAACTCACAAATCCTAGTTTTGTTTTTATATTTCAAGTTTTGGTACAGAAGTATATATTCAGCTACTAGTGTTGTCTTCTCCCATCAAACCTTGGTCTGGCAATAAATTTTGTTTTGTTGGTTTCTGAATATAATCCTTTAAAGGGAGGAGCATGTGAGACACTGAAGCCTAACTTATGTCAGTAAAATAAAGTACCTTCACTTGAAGGTTTTTTACCACCTTGCCTTAGATTCTTTAAATGAAATCCCAAGCCTCCCCCTTTTCCTTTGGTTGTCTTTCCATCAAATCCCATTCTACCACAGAACCCAAACAGACTTTTTTGGGGAGTGAGGGGGAGGAAGAGAGACTGACAGAGCAAAACAGAACTCCCAACAGAACCATGCCCCTGCTGCATTCTTAAAGACCAAAAGGGGACATGGACTCTTCAAAGGCTTCCAAATACATCCCCCACCCCCAGCCCCCTTCAAACCTAGTAAGTTCTGTTGTGTGTGCCTGGCTAAATAAAACAAAAACCCCAATGAAACAGACTTTCCCAAAAACATCTGCTTCCAGCTTAGTAAGTCAGTGCAGTGGCACTGCTGAGTCGCAGAGAACCCAGGCCCCTAATGCCCCCGTCCAGGCCAGCGGCTGCTCGGCCTCTCCACATTCACAGAATCACTTCTTGTGCAAAACAAGCAGTCTACGTAGAAAGAATGCCCTCATCGTAGTCTAATAAAAACTGTAGAAAAAAATGCTAGAGAGCCACCTCTCTCCCCACTTCCTCTTTATCTGCAGAGCGAGGGCATCTGTGCATAGACAGGGTAGGCAAGCCTGACGTTGAGGGAGTCGTTGTGCTGAACCAGGGATGTCTGCTGGTAATGGAGCACCAGCTCCTTCAGAGAGCTGTACAGGTTGTAGGGCTCTGCAAAGCCATAGCCCCGAGCAGTGCTGTAGATCACACAGTGCTTCACTTCCCCATCGGCACTGCAATGACATACCACAGAAAAAATGTTAAGGCAGACAACAATGAATCCAGAGAACACCAAATGACCAGAAGTCTGAGAGCAACTGTTATACAAAGGAGGAAGAGTCAATCAGACAAAGCTTGTAAAATTGTTTCCCCACCCCCTATAGACTTGGCCACAGACATAGGTATGTTAAAACAACCATAAATATGAGGTTTCTTAACTCTCAGTTCCATTCATTGATCTATGTCCCTCCTTATGTCAGTACCTCACAGTCATGACTACTAAATTTTGAAATCAAAAAGTGTGAGTACTCCAACTTTTTTCTATTTTTTCAAGATTGTTTTGGCCATTCTGGGTCCCTTGCATTTTCCTATGAATTTTAGAATCATCTTATCAATTTCTGCAAATATCCAGCTGGGATTCTGATAGGATTATGTTGAATGTGTAGATCAATTTGGGAAGTATTACCATCTTAACAATATTAAGTCTTCTGATCTATGAACACAGGATGTCTTTTCACTCATTTTTTTTCTTTCTTTTTTTTGACACAGAGTCTCACTCTTTTGCCCCTGGTAGACTGTAGTGGCCTCATCATAGCTCACTGCAACCTCCAACTCCTGGGCTCAAGCAATCCTCCTGCCTCAGCCTTCCAAGTAGCTGGGATTACAGGCATGCGCCACCTGCCTGGCTAATTGTTTCTATTTTTGGTAGAGATGGGTCTCAGCTCTTGCTCAGGCTAGTCTCTAATTCCTGAGCTCAAGTGATCCTCCCTTGGCCTCCCAAAGTGCTAGGATTACAGGCCTGAGCCACTGTGCCTGACTCTTTTCACTTATTTAGGCTTTCTTTAATTTCTTTCAATGATGTTTTGTAGTTTTCACTGTACAGCTTCTTAACATTTCTTTTGTATTTTTTTTTTTAGCAGTCACTGACCAATTAACATTTGTTTTGTTCTTAGATACTAATATTTCATCATTTTGATGCTATTATAAATGGCATGTCTTCATTTCATTTTGGCAGAGGTTTTTTTTGTTGTTTATTTTTTTATTCTTTTAGCCTACAGCACCCGGTATTCCCAGGCAGCCTCCCATCCAAGTACTAACCAGGCCTGACCCTGCTTAGCTTCTAAGATCATCCAAGATGGGGCATGTTCAGAGTGGTATGGCTGTAGACTCTTCATTTCCTTTTTGGATTGTTAATTGCTAGCATATAGAAATTCACCTCTGTCTCTTGTAACCTGCGACTTTGCTGAACTCACTTACATTATAGCTCTAATAGTTTACTTCTTCCTTTCCCATCTGATTTTCTTTTATTTTTTTTCCTTGCCTAATTGCTCATGGTTGGAGCAGACAACCTTGTCTTTTTCCTGATCTTAGGGGCAAGCATTCAGTCTTTCACCATTAAGTATGATGATTAGCTGTGGGTTTTTCATTGACGCTCTTTATCAGATTGAGTAAGTTCCCTCTTATACCTAGTTTGTGTTCAGTGTTTTTTAATATGAAAAGAGTAGATTTTATCAAATGCTTTTGTGTGCCTCTATTAAGATAATCATGTAATTTTTGTCCTTTATTCTATGAATGTGGTTTATTACATTGATTTTTGAATGTTGAACCACCCTTACATTCCTGGGATGAATCCTTTTTATAAGCAGCTGAAACCGATCTGCTAGTATTTTGTTGAGGATTTTTATGTCTGTATTCATAAGGCCCACAATTTTCTTGTGATGTTTTTGTCTGCTTTTGGTATCAGGGTAATACCATCACAAAATGCATTAGATTGTGTTCTGTACTCCTCTATTTTTTGGGAGAGTTTCTGAAGGATTGGTGTGATTGTTCTTTAAGTGTTTGGTAGAATCCCTCAGTGAAGCCATCTGAGTGAGCCTGGGCTTTTCTTTACGGGTAGTTTTTGATTAATAATTCAATTTCTTTACTTTTTATATAGTTCTATTCAGATTCTCTATTTCTTCTTGAGTTAGTTTTGGTAGTTTGTGTGCTTCCAGGAATTTGTCGAACAATAAATACAGCTGATTCTTAAACAACACAGGAGTTGGGGCACTGACCCCCTGCATAGTCTAAAATCCACATACAACTTTTGACTCCCCAAAGACTTAACTACTAATAGCCTACTGTTGACTGGAAGCCTTACCAATAACATAAAGAGTCAATTAACATGTATTTGGGATGTTATATATATTACATACCATATTCTTATAATAAAGTAAGCTAGAGAAAAGAAAACCATTAAAGAAGAGAAAATATATTTACTATTCATTAAGTGGAAGTAGATCATCAAAAAGGTCTTCATCCTCATCATTTTCATGTTGAGTAGGCTGATGAGGAGGAAGAAGAGGGGTTGGTCTTGCTGTCTAAAGGGTGTCGGAGGCAGAAGAAAATCCATGTGTAAGTGGACCTGCTCAGTTCAAACCCATGTTGCTCAGGGGTCATCTGTAAGTTATTTAATTTATTGGCATATAATTGTTTACAGTATTCCTTTATCTTTTTTATTTCTATAAAAGTCCCCTCTTTCACCCTGATTTTAGTAATTCCTGTTGTCGTCTCTCTCTCTCTCTCTCTCTCTCTCTGCCTCTCTGACAGTTTAGCTAGGGGTTGTCAATTTTGTTGATTTTTTTCCAAAGAACTAACTTTTTGGTTTCGTTGATTTTATCAATTGTTTTATATTCTCTATTTCATTTACTTCAGTTCTAATCTTTATTATTTCCTTCATTCTGTTTGGCTGGGTTTAGTTTGTTATTTTTCTAATTTCTTAAGGTGGAAGAAGGTTAAGTTACTGATTTAAAATCATTCTTTTTTTCCCTCCCATCCCTATAAGATCATTTTTTTAACATAGACACATACAGTTACAAATTTCCCTCTTAGCACTACTTTAGTTGTATCACATAAGTTCTGATATGTTGTAGTTCCATTTTCACTCATCTCAGAGTATTTTCCTTGTTTTCTTTTTTTTGATCCAGTGGTTATTTAAGAGTGTGTTGTTTACTATCCACATATTTGTGAATTTCCCAAATTTCCTTCTGTTTTTCATTTCTAATTTAATTCCATTATTGTTGGAGAACACACTTTGTATGATTTCAATCCTTTTAAATTTACTGAGACTTGTTTTACGGCCTAATTATGGTCCATCCCGGATGATGTTTCATATGCACTTGAGAAGAATGTATATTCTACTGTTGTTGGGTAGAGTGTTCTATAGATGTCTGTTAGTTAGATCTACTTGTTTTATAGTGTTGTTCAAGTCTTCTATTTCCTTGTTTATCTTCTGTCTGGTTATCTATCCTTAATCAAACCTCTTATTTTCCAAATGGCAACAATAATTAGGAATACAAGTTGTCACTACCTGACTCCCCAACCCAGTGGAATACATGCATTGCTGGCTGCAGGTCTTTAGCCTGAGAGGGCCCTGGAGTTTAACAACTTCTTCTTAGGCTTCTTTGTGATGTTATTAACAGAAAGTAGAATGGAAAAATAAATGAGAGATCCATGTCTGACATCTTACTACATGAACATTTTAATTTTGCTATGTAAGTCCTAAAAAACTGAACTTACGCAGATCCCTACTTCAGCAAATGTCCTAAGTATATTGCGAGATCACTGGTGGCAGGGTTTTTATAGCAAGAGAGGCTGGCAAAAAAGTGGAAGTCTTTGTGATGCCAGCCTCTCTTGCTTCCAATCATCCTCAATATGAATTCCAACATGAAGTATGACTGCAGTTAGTTTTTATAGGCAAGGGAAATCCACACTGTTGTGCACTCGAGCCTGGTCAAGTCTGTTGCTAAAGGAAAGAGAACAAGAAAACAGTTCCCCGAGATTCAAGCTGCTTCTTGGTTTTCCAGGGATTAGCCTTGATGGGCACCACCTGGGCAGCACCTCCAAACAAGTCCTTAACGTATAGGCTGCCACCCAATGACCTAGGTGAAAGTAAGGGGCTGGGCTTACTGCCTTCCTTCTTTTTATTATTCTTAAAAGATCCCAAATCTTTGCAAGAACCATCATTTCTTGTCATTTCCACTCAAATAATTTCAGTAGCCCGAGTGAGAGAGAAATGAAATGTTGTAAGTAGTTGTATCTTTGAATAACAGTAATCCAATGCACTTTTCAATTGCTTCCCCATACTCTCCCCACAAGACATCCCATTGACACTTTCAAGGTCAAGCTCAAATGCCTTTTCCACAAAACCTCCCAACCCTCTCTTTCTCCACTAGAATTAACATTTCCGCATGTGCACAGCCTACTAATGATACATATTTCACAGTGATTCTATTTATATTGGATATTTAGTGAAATGAAGAAAGTCTGGTGCAATAGAAAAATGTGGGCTTTGAAACCAGGTAAACTTGGATTCAAACTCTGACTCCATGACAGAAGTAGACCACTGAAGACAAGAGGATCTTGTAAAACACCAAGCACTCTGTTCATATGAATCCTTTTGTCTAGCTTCTCCACCTTGCCCTCTTTGAGGGCACAATCACTTTGCCATCTTTGTTTGTCTTTTGCCAGGTCCATCGTTATCATAATAATATTAGTAGAAACATTAACTTATTATGTGCCATCACTGTTAAAAGCATCTTATATGCCTGTAATCCTAGCTCTCTGGGAGGCCGAGGCGGGCGGATTGTTTGAGCTCAGGAGTTCGAAACCAGCCTGACCAAGAGCGAGACCCCGTCTCTACCAAAAATAGAAAGAAATTAATCGGACAACTAAAAATATATAGAAAAAATTAGCCGGGCATGCTGGCGCATGCCTGTAGTCCCAGCTACTCGGGAGGCTGAGGCAGGAGGATCGCTTGAGCCCAGGAGTTTGAGGTTGCTGTGAGCTAGGATGACGCCACGGCACTCTAGCCTGGGCAACACAGTGAGACTCTGTCTCAAAAAAAAAAAAAGCATATTATATTACATATATCAACTCATTTAATCCTCACAAAAACCCTCATGTAGATATTGTTAATATTATTCTTATTTCACAGGTAAGGAAACTGCACATTGGAAGGTTAAGTAATTTACCTAAGGTTACACTGCTGGTAAGCAGTAGAGCCAGGATTTGAACCCAGTATATCTGGCACCTTCATACCTCTTTTCTAAGCGTGGTCTTTGTCTATGAAGATGTTTGCCATCTTAAGGAATATACTAAACACTCAGACAAAACCTGACTGAGGCCTGGTTAGTTATCCCCTGAATTTCACTTTTCATTAAGAGAAAAATAGGCTTTTCTCCAAAAAGTCATAAGATCATCTTAAGAAAAACCCATCCACATTTTCTTTTTTTTCTTTTTTTTTTTTTTTGTGACAGAGTCTCACTCTCTTGCCCGGGGCAAGTACTGTGGTGTCAGCCTAGCTCACAGCAACCTCAAACTCCTGGGCTCAAGTGATACTCCTGCCTCAGCCTCCCAGGTAGCTGGGACTACAGGCACACGCCACCATGCCCAGCTAATTTTTTTTCTATTTTTAGTTGTTTGGCCAATTTCTAGAGACGGGGTCTCGCTCTTGCTCAGGCTGGTCTCGAACTCCTGAGCTCAGAACGATCCGCCCGCCTCAGCCTCCCAGAGTGCTAGGATTACAGGCGTGAGCCACCGCGCCCGGCCCCATCCACATTTTCTATCACTACCTCACAGAATACTATTTGATTTTAAAATTTAGAGTTTTTCTTTTGAAGTAAAAATAGTTCATTTAATCAACCTTCCCTAATTTGACATTGGAGACCAAGCTAGGCATACTGGAGACTACTAAGGAATTAAGTGATTTTTTTTTCAATTCAAGATCTCACATTACCTTTCACAGATACATAAAATCCAACCACAATACTGCAGGGCTTAATCTGCTTACCACGTAAATTAAAACCCCAAGATAATTTCAGATATCATGTCTCATAAAACTGTTTTCTTTGTACAAATATTAATGGTCCAAGCCATGGGTCCCCATTACTGTACTTTAACTAATTTCATCTGAATTTTTTTTTTTTTTTTTTTGAGACAGAATCTCACTCTGTTGCCCTGGGTAGAGTGCAGTGGCGTCATCGTAATTCACTGCAACCTCAAACTCTTGGTCTCGAGCGATCCTCCTGCCTCAGTGTCCCAAGTAGCTGGGGCTACAGGCTCGTGCCACTATGCCCGGTTAATTTTTCTGTTTTTAGTAGAGACGGCATCTTGCTCTTGCTCAGGCTGGTCTCGAACTCCTGAGCTCAAGCGCTCCTCCTGCCTCGGCCTCTCAGAGTGCTAGGAGTACAGGTGTGAACCACCACACCATAGCCATCATCTGAATTTTATGAGGGGTTGATTTTATATTAATCAATGCAGAAGATTTCAAAAGGTCATAACCGCAGAGAACACTTACACCACAGAGCAAGCATAGCATCCTTTCTTGCTGCTCTCACGAATTAAGAATGCACCATCAGGTTTCCCATAAAGCAAATCCTCTGCTTGAACTCGATTGATATCCTCCACAAACCAGGTTTTCTCATCATAATGGGGCAGGTTTTCATCTTCCTCATTGATAAAATAGTTCCTAAAATTAAATGTTAATACATTATTCTAATAATCAGGTTACTTAGATATAAAAGCAAATTCATTAATAAAATGCTCTTCCAAATCTCTAACCACAAAATGACAAAGCAAAACTGCAATTAGTTGGGTGTTTTTTTAAACACTTCATTACTTGCTATGTTGCAGAAAGCAGAGCATTCACATGTTTCATCCAATAAGCTGAAACATGAATATCTGAATAACAGTGCTTATTCATCCAGATTTCCTGTGGCTAGGCAGGTCTCTGAATTCAAGTGCCTACAGGGTACTCTTCAGGCAACTGAATTCAAAAGAGATTCAAAGTTCTTCATTCAATGTCCTCAATTACAATGAGAACCAACATTCAGCATGTATAAAGAAGGTCCGTGTCTTATATTGAGAACAAAGCCCTCTGACAGAAAGGTATAGAGAGAACGTACTCATCAGCATCCTCATTCTTGATTCCCAGCCATGCATTCAGGCGCTTCTGTCTCACCCCTTTGTGATTGAGCCATCTGCCAGAGGAAAGACACCAGTGTCAGTAACTATGCAAATTCTGCCTGTACAAGGTACATATGTGCAAGCTAACCAAATTTCCAGAGTCCAGAAACCTATTTTTCCTTATCTCACGAAGAGCAGACAACGATTTCCCTAAATTAGTCCCTCCATTACTTTTCCTTCAACTAATACCATGATGAATTAATTTTTTCTGCAAAAAGGCAGAAACACAGCTACTGGAAATTAGGCACTTCTCTTACTTTTCATTTTTCTTTTCTGGATGGTTATGCCACCACAAGTTCACACATACTTGCACTCACACACAGTGAGGCATTTGTTTCTGAAATTTTAAGATAGGTGAGCGTAGTGTCATATTTGCAATCTCCATTAAACCAGAGGACCCACTTCCTGTGTGGCCTACTGAACTGAGTTTAAATTTCTAAACTATAAATTTCAAGAGCTATTTTTGCACCTTAGGAAGCTACAGGAAATTCAGGGTGGCAAGCTGAATAATATGAGTGTGTGTACTATTAATAAAAAAAAATAAAATCTTAAGCCCCCCAATAATTCAATGGGCCCTCTCTTGGCCAACGGGATCCCAAAATACCCTGAAGCTGAGTTGCTAACCATGAAAAGGGAGGTCAGACATGCCTCATCATGCCCCCCTTCCCTGAAGACATCCTTTCTAACTCATTAACAGGCCTAAGACTATGTAAGACAATCTTAAATCATACCTTCAGGTCATCAATTTACTTAACAGATCACTTGAGTCTTGGTATATGTCTGGTGGCTTGTCTCTGATTAACAGACTTCCTTATCTCAATTCAAAACATTCCAAGCCTTTAGACAAAGCTTCATTTCTTTTTCTTTTTTTCTTTTTTATTTTTTGAGACTGAGTCTTCCTCTGTCCACTGGGGTAGAATGCAGTGGCATCATTGCAGCTCACTGACAACCTCAAACTCCCGGGCTCAAGTGATCCTCTTGCCTCAGCCTCCCCAGTAGCTGGGACTATAGGTGCACACGAGGACACCCAACTAATTTTTCTGTTTTGAGTAGAGATGGGATCTCACTCTTGCTCAGACTGATCTCAAACTCCTGACCTCATGTGATCCTCCCACCTCTGCCTCCCAGAGTGCTAGATTATAGGTGTGAGCCACCACGCCTGGCCTCTCTTTTGTCTTTAGTTTACACAACCCATTAAAGGAATTTTCAAGGTCCAGTTTGCCAAATGCTATGAACTGAATGTCTGTATCCTCCCAAAATTCATATGTTGAAATCCTAATCCTGAAGGTGATGCTATCAGGAAGTGAGGACTTTGGGAGGTGATTAGGTCATGGGGGCAGAACCCTCATGAAAGAGGGTTATAAAAGAGGCCTAAAAGAAACCCCTCACTCCTTCCACAATGTGAGGAAACAGCTAGAAGGTGCCATCTAAGAACCAGAAAGCAGTCGCCTACCAGACACCAAATTGCCAGTGCCTTGATCTTAGACTTCCCAGGCTCCAGAACTGTGAGAAATATCTCTTGTATATAAGCTACTCAGTTTATGATATTTTGTTTTAGTTGCCTGAACAAAGACACTACACTTATTCATGCCCTTTGGGATGGTATATTTCTTAAATATCTTTATTGCTTTTCAGAACAAAGAAGTACTTCCATTCATTCCTTTGGTCCATGGCATAGCCTTCTTGGGCTTTTCTTCAGCTTCATGATGTGACCAGAACCACATGAGCATTCCAAGAGCTGACACACCCTACTTTTAGATAAGGGCACCTCTTTGCCATGTTTACAAAGCTCTTCTGTATGCTGTGTACACTTGCTTGACTACTTTTGGCCACAGAAGCAAACTGAAATGATCTCTTGAGAGGGGTGTTGTTAAAAACTATTCAGCACAGTATAGTTGTAATAATTATTTACCCCCAAAATATATTACCTTAAATTTTCCTCTACTGAAACTTATCTGCCACTGTTCCAATCTCTAGGCCTATATTGTATCCTCTCCCTCTTTCTCACACAAAGAACCATGAAGTCTATGTAAAACCTAGAGTTAGAGGTCTTTGCTCTGTCTTCTCCTGCCAGTAGTTTGAATTGAGTGGTATTATATGCATGAAGGTCACCCACAGATATATTAATATTTCATAACAGTCTAGTCTACCCAGAACAAAGCCCAATATACAGTATTTTCCTTTCTCATGGGTTCTCTCCTCCTTTGAAACAGTCATTTGTCCTTCTAAAAATCTAATCTGCACATTTTATTCTGATAATATATCTTTCAATCTATATTTGGAGAATATCCCTATTATGCCTATATTTGGCTAAATCATATAGCTTTCCCTAATATTAAAGAGTTGGGTTTCAGGCCAGGCATGGTGGCTCACACCTGAAATACTGCGGCAGGAGGATCCCTTAAGGCCAGGAGTTCAAGACTACCTGGGCAATAGCAAGACCCCATCTCTACAAAAAAGAAAAAAATTAGCTGGGCGTGGTGGCATGCACCTGTAGTCCCAACTACTCAGGAGGCTGAGGCAGGAAGATTGCTTGAGCCCAGGAGTTTGAGGTTGCAGTGAGCTATGATGATGTCACTGCATTCTAGCCTGGGTAACAAAGTGAGACCCTGTCTCAAAAATAAAATAAAATAAAAAGAGTTGGGTTTCATTACTCAGTCAAATTACCTGAAGTGCCTGCTACAGACACCTTTCTGTTATTTAAATATAGAATCTCATTTCCTATATATAAAAATCATTTAAGAGATTGTTCTGTATACCTATTTGCAGGTTCCCACGATTAGTGTCCTCCCCTGTGCCTCTGAGGGTAATTTCTATTTCTGTGGTTCTACCATGTAACCAAAGATTCTAGTTTTTGTTTTAGACACATTAATCTGTACTTTTTAAGCTGTATCACTTTGTTCATGCCACAGCCAGCCTCTGAGATTTCCAAGATATTTGTATGAATTAGAGTCCTACATTCTGATTTGCCCCACTGATTGACTTCAGACAAACTCTGGTACCCCCTACAACAAATAGGGCTGCTTTCCTAAGTTCTTACCACCTCTCTGGTCAGTTCTCAATTACAAATTTCTTCTTCTACCTCTCATGTCTCTAGTGCCAGTAGTAACTTGGTGGTAGGTAACGTCTCCCTTCCCATACAGTCCCCGACTACTTACACAAGGTGCTGATCTCGGATCTTGCGCAGCTGTATCAGGTCAGGTTTGATACTATTCATTTTTTTATCTATTTCTCGGTTGTCCAAAGCTTGTTTCTTCAAATCCTGCTCTAGACGCATTTTGCTATCATGAATCTCACCCAGACGGGATTTCAATTTATCATAATTCATCATAATTCTGTGAAAATATGTGACATATTAAGGCTAAAATAGCAACCACACAGAAGGATCCTATAGTGTGAGCATAGTCCTAATATCTTAAATGTGGTAAACATCTGTTGTTTTTGCCTGACCCATAGCCATTCCCATTCTTCTGGTAACAGCACCCTGATGTTCCCTGTAAGGGTTCTCCGCCCCCATCTCAGATCCAGGAGTGAACACACACTCAGCCCACACTGGCCAATAAGAGTATTCCATCACATCCCATTTCTACCCTCAGGCCACAGTGACTGGTTCAGGAATGGGAATAAGACCCAACTCGACCCAATGAGAGTCAATTCTAGGACTTTTGCTCAACTATTGTTAAAAGAGATTCTCTCTTTTCACAGGGGTTGCTAAGTTAAGAATATGCAATTCTAGGATTCCCGGCAGCCATAGTGCCACCTCACAGGGGAAACCTGCCTGAGGATAAAGCCAACCCAGAGAAAAACTGAACCAAAAGACAATGTGAGAGAGAGTATCCCGATGACCTTGTCTGGGCCCTGGATCCAGCCACAACTGAACAAGTAAAGCTACATGGGTGATATTCAAGAGTAGCACAGCATAGCAGTTAAGAGCAATGGCTTTGCAGTTAGTCTACCTAAGTTTGAATCTCCACCCTGTCTCTGACTGTAGGGACTGTGGGCAAGTTATTTAATTTCTATGTGTCTTCATTTCCTCAATTGTTTAAAATGCGTACCTACAACTGTACCTACTTCACTGGGTTATTGTGTTAATTAAATGTGATAATACATGTAAAAGGACTAGAACACTGCCTGGCACGTCTTGGTAGGCACTCAGTAAATGATGGCTATAATCTTTTCCAGCACACAAAAGTTTGCTATGCTCTGAACCATTAAGTTAACAACTGTCCACATTACTCCTCTGTCACTAACTAATATGTGGCTTTATTTTACTATTAAAACTTCATCATGGCTGGGCGTGGTAGCTCACGCCTGTAATCCTAGCACTCTGGGAGGCCTAGGTGGGAGGATTATTTGAGCTCAGGAGTTTGAGACCAGCCTTAGCAAGAGTGACACCCCATCTCTACTAAAAATAGAAAGAAATTAGCTGGACAACTAAAAATATACAAAAAAAATTAGCTGGGTATGGTGGCACATGTCAGTAGTCCCAGCTACTTGGGAGGCTGAGGCAGAAGGTTCACTTGAGTCCAGGAGTTTGAGGTTGCTGTGAGCTAGGCTGACGCCACGGCACTCTAACCCGGGCAACATAGTGAGACTCTGTCTCAAAAAAAATAAAAATAAATAAAAATAAAACAAACAAACAAACCAAAAACTTAATCATGCTATTTTACCTCCCTCTGCAGCTAAACTACAAGTTCTTTCCTATTTCTTCATTATTAATAATAATAATCACCGTTTATTGAAAGCCCACCATGTGCCAAGATACATATTATTTAATTTTCACAGCATTCCAACAAGATATTAGCCACAGTTTTTGGAGGGAAAAGGATTTAGAGAGGTTAAGTAACTCACTCAAGGTTACACAGCTAATAAATGGCCAACATAGAATTCAAGCCCACGGTTTTAACCATTAAGCTACACTGCCTCATAACACTTAGCTCTATACTCGTGCACACCAAAGTACACTAATATTGTGGTGCTAATGAGCAATAAGTTTGCTTTTCCATCGCACTTTATTTATTTTTATTTATTATCCACTTTTTGAATCCCTTTCACTCCTCAACCCACTATTATCAAGCTCAGTCTTATAATTCTCCATTAAATTTGCTTTGATAAAAGCTTCCAATATCCTTTTAGTTGCTAAATCCAATACTTCTCATACTGCCTATTTTCTCTGTGTAATCTCATTCTTAGCATCTACATCACCTACATACTTATGTTTCCCAAATCCTTTCTCTACTGAGTTCCACATCCAAATAACCAGCTGCCTGTCTTTCAGATAGCTCCATTTGGGTTCTCACAGGAACTTCAAACTCATTGATTCCAACTCCGAATCATATGTGGCTTTATATTACTATTAAAACTTCATCATGCTACTTTATCTCCCTCTGTACCTAAACTATAAGTTCTTTCCTAGTTCTTCATTAGAAAGAAATAGGAAGTTATGCACTTCCTATTTTGGTGAATAATACCATCTCCCAGTCACTCACACTAGAAATCTAGGAATAATCTTTGACTTCTCCCACACCTACCCTATCTGGTCAGGCATAAAGTCCTTAGCATTTCTACTAACTCTCCCTTCTTTTCTGCCATTGCTCTGGTCTGGGTCCTTTTAACCGGATGACCACAACCATTGTAGCCACCTGCAATAGTCAGACTGGTCTTCCTGTCTACAGTCTTGTTCCACTCCAATTTATTCTTAGACTGCTGCCAAAGTTGATTTTCAGTTCAAAAAAAAAAAAAAATTCAGTGAGTTCCAATTATGTACTCCAGGCACCATAACAGGTACTACCAGGGCTATCAGGGAAAAGAAGCCACCATGCCTACTCTCAACAAGTTTGCAATTGAGTGGGCATGACATTCAGTAAATGTTACACTAGAGATCAGGACCAGATAATATAAGGACCAAAAAAAAGCCCTCCACTGGTCTAGGAAATCAGAGAGGAGTTTCTGGGAAAGGTGATGTCTAACCTGAGTCCCTAAAGAATGAGCAGGAGTTTTTTGGGGGGAATGAAGAAACAGCATAGAAGAGAGGAGGTACAATTTGGTGCTATTGGTGGAAGAGCAAGTAGTTCCAATGGCAGAACTGTGCACTTTGAGGGAGTAAAAGCAAACAAGACAGGAATTATCAGGGAAGAAAAGAAGTCGTATCTCATTGATGTCCTTGGAGGTATTAAGTAGACTTACCGTTCAATCTCCTTTTCATTCCCCTCTCTGCGAAATCGCTCAATATATTCTTTGCTGTGTTGTTCTTGTGTGTGACATTGTTCCTCAAATATTTTAATTGTTTCATTAAAAGCTTCAATTGCAGTCCTCTTCATCTGTATTTCCTACAGGAGAGAAAAAGAAACAAAGTTTCATAACCTTGGTCTTAAAACAAATATTGTAATTCTAGTTACAATCCCATATAAGACCAAATTAAGAGGGATAAAACAAGACCGATTATTCAACCCCTACCCTATTATGTCTATGTAAAATACAACATTGAAACTATGAAATAAGTAAAAAGAACCATTATCTGAAATATAGCTGAGAACCACAGAAAGGTCTCTGAGCTGCCAAGAGAGATTAATCTCTTGAAGTCTTGAGGACGAAGATGGAGTTCTGCCTTTGCACCTGTTATCGTAGTGCTCATCCCCAAAAGATGCTGAAGGAGTGAATGGAAAGAGCTGAGGATTCCATGCACCAAAGTGCAAAGTCTTATTCTCAGAAGAGTCCTGTAGAGTCTATTTATTCTTACTCTCATTTCTAAAATATGTACATAGTTTTCCAAACAGATTCATTACTAGATTAATCTTATTATAAGCAGAAAATGAAAAGGGAAAGAATACCTGCTAAAGTCAGATGCGTGAAGAATAATAAGATGAGGAACTAAAAACTCCACAAAACAGACTTAATAACTCCAAAGGCCCAGTAGGCTAGGCCATTAAGCATCAGAGTAAACAGTCCTATACATTTCAAAGAGCTCTGAGGACATTAGTAGATTTTAGCATCTGAATCATGATTCCCCTAAAATCTTCAGAGGGTTAAATTTTGTTATTTGCTTTATAGAAAGGCCATAAATATGCATAAAGGTTTAGAAAGTTTGCTATCCTGATGTTTACAATTCTACAAGTTTTGATGCTTGTGGGATAATTCCTCAATTATCCAGCATTTATTAGGCTGGTTTGTTTGTTTGGTTGGATGGGTTTTTTTGTAGCTATGCTGCCCAGGCTGGACTCAAACTCCTGGGCTCAGGGGATCCTCCCACCTCCGCCTTCCGAGTAGCTGGCCCTACAGGCACACATAACCATGCCCAGTTTCAGCATTTATTAATTTTGACAAAAGATTATTAAGAATCCACTATACAGAAAGTACCATGTGGTGATAAAGAGATTTGTGAAACATGGAACCTGCCCACTAGGCCTCAGAATACACAGGTGGAATATATTCCTACACTCTAATAAGGTTTTGGTTTCATGTCATGGTAGAGGCACCCAAATGAGGTTAATAAGTTATTTATTGCTTTACAGAGGCTTCACAGAGGAGGTGACATTTATTTAAACCTGGTCTTAATTGGGATAGAGGAAGAAAATGCAGCATTGCACAAAGAAGGCATGGTATGGCATATACATAAAATAACAGGGCATGTTCAGGGATCAGCAATTGCTCAGTAGGGCTGGAATGTAAGAAGATTAGCAGATGAGGGAGGCTAGAATCTTGTAATGGTCCATATAGTTGACATTATATCCTACATATCTCAGATAATTCTGAAAACATATTGGAATGCCCACATCTAAATATTAAGATATTGCTACAAATTCTACAACTCTTATAGTGGAGGATCTTGGCTTCCTTGCAAGCAAGGTTAGAAATTACCTGCAAAGTTCTGGCCCTGGATCTTCAAAGAAAACATCAAGAATTTAGACTTTACTAACAATGGTATGTGTATTGATAGGCAGGGCAGCAAAGGGAAAAGAAGTATTTAATATCACTACCAAATCAGCAGTTTCCCCATAAACAATACCACTACACCTACCACTAAACCTGTGAACCCACCTGTATCTACACCCATTCTCTCCCTTCCCTTCCCTTCCCTTTATGTACGTGTGCTCTGAGTCTCACCTCCTCTTCCTTTCTCAGGTACTTCACTCCATCATACCAGCCAGCCCCTCTTACATTATTAACTCTCCCAGTCGAATAGTTCGTTCTCATCAGCATACAAATTCTGGTAACACCACTTTTGGGGAAAAAAAATCTCTTAATCCTAAATTCTCTCCAAATCACAGATAAGTTTCTTCAAAGAGTTGTTTATATGGGCTGTCTCTTTTTCTACATCTTCCATTCACACCAACTCACTCTATCCTGGCTTTTGACCATTCCACACAGGCTACGCTCTTCAAGGACACCATGATCTTCCTCATTACCACATTGCTCTCTCTTATCCCAAACCATCACTCTTCTTCCTAATTACATGTAATTCAGATGTGAAATATCCCCATCCGCAGCCTAGTCTCACCCTGTGCCAACTTTGACTGAGGGCACACCATCTCTTCCCATTCTCTGAGAAGAATTCACTTAAACCAAAGCAATCTAGATTTTATCTAATGTCACAGGAAAAACAGAGGTCTATAATATATAACTCAATGTCAACTCTTTAAAAACTCAATACCTATTTTCCTAGCACACTTCCTGTGCTACTAATCACTGGGTCCCTCCTCTCTTTTCCCTTCATCTCCCAAAGCTGTATGCCTCAGTGGCTCTTCTCTGCCCAGGCCCTTTTCAAGTCCTGCTCCCAATTTTCACATAGAGAAATGTAGCTCTCTGTTAGCTTATACCGGGTGCCTTTTTTGGTTGCCTTCATCTACTCCCATACACAACTTTAGAACTAGGGATTCCAAGTTCTGCACCCAGTCTCATATCAGCTGCTCAGGACCTCCTATTCTGCAGTTAAATCCCCCAATATTACTAAACATGTGGCCACATATAGAGCTTTCTCTGCTTTCTCCAGCCATCACAAGAAAGCAGAAATGCAGCTCTATATAAACCAAAGCCACATGCAACACTGGCCATTTTTTCTAGCCTCTGTTCATTGGAAGGTTAGGCTTCCCCTAGACCTCAGTTCATACGAGTTTGACTCCAGGCTCCTGACAAAGGTGAAGTGTTTTTGGTTCGTTATCTTGCATAAATTCATTCAATAAATATTGAACATTAACTATATGCCAGGCATTTACCTGAAGCATTTGGAATATTAGAGCAAACAAGCTTAGTCAAAAATTTCTGCCTGCCTAGAACTTACAATAGTGTTAGGGGGTTATACAGATAATAAGCAATAGACATAGTAAGTAAATTACATAGTTTGTTAAAAGGCGAGAGTTATTATTAAAAAAGAAAGCAGAGTGGGAAAAGAAGATCAGAATGTGAGTTGCAATTTTAAATAAAGTTGTCAAATAGCCCTTATTGAGACAATGACATCTGAGCAAGCTTAAAGGAGTGAGGGGGTTAGCTGGGTGACTATCTTAGAGAAAGTATTCCAGGGAAAGAAATAGTGTAAACACTCCAAGGTGGGAAGCAGGTGTAACATATTCGAGGAACCGCAAGGAGGTCAGTGTGGCTAGAGCACACTTAGTGAGAAAGAATTATTAGAAATGAGGTCAGAGAGGAGGAGGGGCACAGATCATGCTGAGCATTACAGAAAGGACTCTGGCTTTTACTCTGTGTAAGATGTGGAACCAGAGCAAGGTTTTAAACAAAGGAGTGCTGTGATCTGACCTACGTTTTACAAGTGTCACCCTGGCTGCTATGCTGAGAACTGAATTGGGAGAGGGGAGCATGGATAAGAGCAAGAAGACTAGGTAGGAGGTCTCTGTGGTAAATCCACACAAGAAATGATAGTGGGTTGAACCAAGGTATTAGCAGTGGAGGTGGTAAGAAGGGGTTGGATTCTGAGTATATACCGAAGATAAGGTAAACAGGATTTCCTGATGAATTGGATGCAAAGTGTAAAAGAAAGAGTTTACTATAACTCCAAGGCTTTTGGCATCAGCAAGAAGTATATGATTGCTCTCAACTGATACAGGGAAGGCTAAGGATGGAATACCAGAGTTCTGATTGAAAAAGGTGTGGGATTACAATGGCCAGAGATACTTCAATAGTTCATTTTCCTATGTGAGATATTTGATTCCATTTTATTTTCAAGTTTTCTTTTATTAATCATTCAGAATTGTTTGGATGACCTTTTTTTCCCTTTCTACCTAATATTTGTGCTGTGGTGTGCCTATGTGTATGTGTGTTTAACTGCAAATTTCAGCTTCTCTTTATTACTTTAGCTTTTCTAGATGAATTATCTATGATGGGGCCAGTGTTCAGAGGTAGAATGGGGAAAAAGCGGCTGGGTGCAGTGGCTGACGCCTGTAATCCTAGCACTCTGGGAGGCCAAGGGAGGATCGCTTGAGGTCAAGAGTTCAAGACCAGCCTGAGCAAGAGTGAGGCCCCATCTCTATTTAGAAAAAAAAAGAAAAAATGAATGGGGAAAAAGTTATTAAATTTCTTCAGACTGAATCAGCCTAAGTAGTTAACATTAGGGGTTGGTGAAATGATCATACATATAATAGAATGTTATACAGATATTAAATTTGTTTTTCAGAAATCATATTTAAAAATTTTTTGAGTTTTAAAAGTACAAAAGTTATATAAATATGCACATTAAATTCAATATAAATTACTGCTGAATTCTATATGAATTATATCGTACAAAGTAAAAGTATTCATTCCCCAAAGGTAACTGCTATTGTTAAGTGTATCTTAGGAATTCCTGATGACCTAAGAAATCTTATGATACAGTTTCAGGTAAGGGAGACAGCACGTAAGATTGTGTGTACAGTGTGATTTCAGCTATGGGGACATACACAGGCCAATATCTCCTAAACAGCCCCACCAGTCCTGAAGTTCTTGGTACAGTCTCTACCTTTACAATAATCACCACAGACACTAGCTTGGAAATAAAGATTAAGGACATTGGGTCTGGGAAAGTAGAGAACATAAATACTAGGGTCAAAACAAGGCATCATGAGTTACAGTTGTACTAAAATAGCTCATAGCTGGCTAATCCTCCTACAGATCACAATTATAAACTGCAGACAAAGATATAAAAAACAAATATTTCACATTGTACTCAAATTGTCAAAAGACAAAGGTTCGCAGCGCTGTACTCCAGTTTGTGCGACAAATTGAGACACTGTCTCTTAAAAAAATTAAAAAATGACATTCCCAGATGAATGAAATATGAAGGAGTTCATTTTTACTAGAACTGCCCTACAAGAAATGCTAAAGGGAGTCCTTTAGGCTGAAA